AAAAAAAAAAAAAAAAAATTAGCCAGGCATGGTGGCACACTTGGAAGTCTGAGGCAGAAGGCTCGCTGGAGCCCAACAGGCTGAGGCTACGGTGGCCGGGAGCATGCCACTGCACTCCAACCTGGGCGACAGAATGAGAGACTCCAACTCAATAAATAAATAAACAAATAAAAGAGCTGCTGGCAGAGAAGGTGCAGCATGAAGGGAGGAGGACCAGCATGGCCTGGTGGGGAGACCAGCACACTGGGGGAGAGGAGGAGGGCAGAGTCGCCAGGAGACCAGAGGTCATGGAGGCTGGAGTCCAGAAGACACAGAAGGAAACGGAGTCCGGAGGAAGGTTCGCCGAGAAAGGGACACGGCGTGAGGCGTTTGTGGACAGGAATGAGCTGGAGTCAGGCAGTGCACAAAGACATCCCAGGCTGAACAGGAAAGACGCGGAGGGAGCCCGCGTGATGTGGAGAGGACCACGGAGGCCTCCCCCGATGGCTCGAGGGTATGCTGAGCGGAGCAGACACGCCGCAGAATGATGACTAAGGGAATTCCGTCACTGATTTGAGCTTGTCGTCTGGGGCCCCATTTGCTTGTGCCTTAATTCACTGTGGCTTCGCTTCCAACCGGAGATGGTTTACGCACCGATATCTCTATTTGTGCTAACCCGAGCGAAGCCACATTTCTGTGATTGGAAAGCTATGAAATCAATGAGTTCGTGAGCTCAACGATGCCCTGCAAGGTAAAAACCAGCACTGCTTATGCAACAGGGGCTGAGCTGGCCTTCATACAAGGTCAAATTAAAGTGAGAGATCACCCGGGTACCTGCATAATAGACATTTGTATACCTGACCCTGAATTGCACCCCCCCCATCTTTAATAAAAAATTTTTTTAAAAATGAGAGACCACCCAACCACAGGGCAAAGACATATAGTTCTTAAACTTGGGCTGCCACGATTCCTTTGGCAATGACAAGGACTTCCCACTTAGGTTGTTTCACCCAGGAAATCAGAGGCCCATCACCGTCTTTATCAAGCAACCGTCCTCGTCCGCACATTCATTAATAAATGCATCCATTCATTCTCCTAAAAGGTATTCACCAGCACCTTAATGTTTCAAGGCCTGCACTAGGTCCTTGGATATCAAAGAGAATAAGATCGCACAAATCTACCCATGTGAGGAAATGGTGAAGAACCATGGACCCCTTGGGTCCATGTCAACTTCCTGGTTTTGGTATTGAACCACCGTTCTGTGAGTTGTAACCACTGGGGGAAACTGGGCGGAGGGTGGGGATGTTTCTGTACTATCCTTTGTAACTTCTTGTGAATCTATGATTGTTTTGAAATAAAAAGCTTAACACAAGTGAATAAGAAAGAGTCCCTGGCTTCAGAGTCAACATTCAGTCACACAGGGAGATTCAAAGATTAAAAAAGCTACTAAGACAAGTACTATGTCATAGGGAAGAAAGTGGTGGGGGCGTCTCTACCCTCCCTGGGTAGACAGCTGGGGAGGCCTCCCTAAAGAGGGGACAAGTGGGCTCAGTTGGACGGATAGATGCCTTTTGCACAAATGCTGCTCCTCTGTTGCCAGAATATCATATGGTGCCTTAATATATTATTATTCTTATCATTATTTTGTAGGGGCTGGGATGAGGTTAACTTTCACACTCTCTCACTCAATGCCTACAATAGCATTGTGATGTCAGTATTACACCCATTTCACAGAAGAGGAAATGGGGGTTCGTGGGATGTTGGTGAGCTCTCCATGCTCACACGGTGGCAGCTTGGAAACCACAGGTGACCCCACAGCTAGCACCGCTTGACTTGGATGGACACCTGCTTCTACCTTGCTCTGCACCGGGTTCCGCCTTCTTCCTGGTAGGTCTGGGCACAGTGAGTGTACGTCAGGGCTGGGGAAATGGAATGCTGAACTGCTCAAGCCCAGAGATTGGAATGAGCAGGAATAGCCTTCCGGTAAAAAAATAACAGCAGCAACCTATATGTGCGGCGGCTTTCATGAAATATTTAGGAAAACAAGTACACATCGTGCACTCAAGGATTAAACCTCTACAGAAAGCAGTGGGGCCATTCCTAAAAGAACTAAAATTTGACCTTTCATACAATCCAGCAATCCCCCTTCTGGGAATATACCTGGAGGAGCATAAATCGCTCTGCCTAAAAGACACCTGCACAGGCGTATTTACAGCCACACTATTCACAGTAACAAAAACATGGAACCAACCCTGCTGTCCATCGAACGAGAACTGGATGACGAAAACGTGGCGCACACACACAATGGAGTACTACGCAGCCTTAAAGAAGAAGCAAGCCATGGACCGCACAGCACACTGGATGGAGCTGGAGACCATCGTGTGAAGCGATCTACCACAGAAACAAAGAACAGAACATCCCATGCTCGCACTCCTAAGCGGGACCTGAACGTTAATCACGTGAGCGCCAGGGAGGGATGCGCAGTCCTAGGCACTGCTGGGTGAGGGGGGATGAGGGTGGGCGGGCAGGGGGCACGTGCCAGCCCCAAGGCTCCCTGGACCAACACCAGGGGACGGAGGGCCAGTTAAAAGCCCAGCCTTCACCTGCCCGCAGCCTGCTTGCGTGGCTAATCCTCACGTCTCTATCATAAAGTCAAATTTATTTTAAAAAAGATTAAGCCCTCTGATTTTAGGGGGAGGTGGAAGCAGTGATGCTCAGCCCAGGGCGCTGAGCTGGGCGCGGCCGTGGGTGCGGCCACAGGTGTGGCGGCGGGCGGGGCCGTGGGCAGGGCCCTGGCCGGCCAGGAGGAACCCGCCTACCTCCGGGGCGATGTAGTCGGGCGTCCCGCAGAAGGTGTTGGTCCTCGCGTCTCCCAGCATGTTCTCCTTGCACATCCCAAAGTCCGCTATCTTGATGTGTCCATCTTTGTCTAACAGGATGTTATCCAGCTTCAGGTCCCTGAAACGCGAAAGCAAAGCAGAGTCTCACTTGATTGTGTATCTCTTTTTTTTGAGTCGGAGTCTCACTCCGTCACCCAGGCTGGAGTGCGGTTGGCACGCTCATGGCCACCCCAGCGTCCACCTGCTGGGCTCTGGTGATCCTTCTGCGTCAGCCTTTCAGGTAGTCGGAACTACAGGTGTGTGCCCTGCCAGGCTGATTTTTTGATTTATTGTGGAAACGGGGTCTTACCATGTTGCCCAAGCTGGTCTCCAATCCGCAGGCTCAGGCAATCCTCTGGCCTCGGCCTCCCAAAGTGCTAGGATCACAGACTTGAGCCGCCGTGCCTGACCTGATTTTGTATTTTTATTTTTGAGTCGGAGCCTCGATCGCCCAGGCTGGAGTGTAATGGGGCGATCATAGCTCACTGTGGATTCGACTTCCTGGGCTCAAGTGATCCTCCTGCCTCAGCCTTCTGAGTAGCTGGGCGTGCAGGTGCGTGCCACCATGTCTGGCAATTTTTGTAGAGACAAGGTCTCGCTAAATTGTCCATGCTTGTCTCGAATGCCTGGGTTCAAGCAGTCCTCCCGCCTCGCCTCCCCAAGTGCTGGGATTACAGGAGTGAGCTCCAGCACTCAGCAAAATCTCATTTTAATACACACAATTTGATTAACATAAAATTGCCACAAGAAGCACAATAGCTCAATTCGTCATGGCCTGAGAGGGGATCGAGAGGGGTGCTGTGTATCCACTTACACACCAAGTGGGGTGTAGACAAAGCTGATTCTTCAAGGGCAGGGCTGGCTCTGTTGATACATTTTTCTGATTTACCAAGGGGCCCAACTCAGCACAAGGGGAAGAGCCCCAGACTGGAAACTCTTTAACCTGGTATCTTTCCTGGGTAATGGTAAGAGAGGGAAGGCCACTTTCTACGTACATTGTTTCTTTGTGCATAAGCTTTACTGCACCTAATTCCAAGTCCAGTGGAGGAAGGCTCTCTCCCACTAAGAAAGAGCCATGCTGGAACCAGGATCGTCTGATGCTAGAATAGCATGTTAATACATTTCTCTTTCCTTAGAGAAACAGAGGCCTCTTAAAACAGCCCATTCCATTCTTAGGTCAGTGTCACTTAACGATATTTTTTTCCCCTAAAATACATGAGCCAAATTATGCCTCCCTTTGATTTTACTGTTGGCCCAAGAAAGCTTTCTATTATTATCAGGTGTGATAGCCCAAATATTTGAAAATGAGCATCCAGTTTTCTTTTGTGTTTCCCTCATAGAGTTCGGGGACTTTGTTCCTCGCATGATGTGATTTTCAAGTCCTGCAACATCCCAGCCTCTCCCTTGCAAAGGTTTTAACCCTGTGGGTGTTCTTCTTGAAATGCGGAGCTCAGGCTGGAGCCAATACTCCTAGCAGACTTTGAACTCCTGCCACCACCCTCTTGCTTTTTGCCACTGTGGCCTAAGATGTGGCAACAGTCGTTTTAGTACTTTCTTTTTTTTGAATTAGAGTCTCACTCCGTTGCCCAGACTGGAGTGCAGTGGCACGCTCCCGGCCACCGCAGCATTGACCTCCTGGGCTCTGGCGATCTTTCCGCCTCAGCCTTTCGAGGAGCCAGAGCTACAGGTGTGCGCTACCACGCTCGGCTAATTTTTTTGATTTATTGTAGAGACGAGGTCTCGCCAAGTTGCCCGGGTGGGTCTCGAATCCGCAGGCTCAGGCCATCCACTTGCCTCGACCTCCCAAAGTGCTGGGATGACAGGCTGAGCCACTGAACCTGGTCTGTTTTAGTACCTTCATCACAATAACAGTTAACATTGAGTTTACAGTAAACTAAAGCCTTCAGGTATTTCTTTTTCGACACAAACTGCCATTATCCCAGTTTCCTCTCATCCTGTACCTGGGAAATTGATTTTTTAAAAGTGAATTCTGGGGTTTCCCTTGACATCAATTACTTAAAAAATTTATTTTTATTGATTTTTGCCGATGAAACTTTATGAATTCCAGCTTTCATTCCCTTTATGTTATCAGTTAGTGAATTCCTGAACTCTCTGAAATCTGCTTTCTCTACATCTAGGGTTTGGGATTGACGAGGGCCACCACCGCCCCCCTCAGTGAGTCGAAATGACTTGGGGGAGGCAGGAACAGCTGCTGTTTTGATCCCTCCCTGAGCCTTAGACAAGAGAGAAGCTGCCTTAGACGACAGAGAGGTTGCCTTAGACAAGAGAGAGGCCATCTTAGATAAGAGAGAGGCCGGCTTAGACAAGAAAGAAGCCACCTTAGATGAGAGAGAGGCCGCCTTAGACAAGAGAGAAGCTGCCTTCGATGAGAGATAAGCCATCTTAAACAAGAGAGAGGCCATCTTAGATGAGAGAGGCCACCTTAGACAAGAAAGAAGCCATCTTAGATGAGAGAGAGGTCGCCTTAGATGAGAGAGTATGTCTGAGTTTCCAGTGTGTCTGTCTTCTGGGTTCTAGTTTCATACTACGACCTGGTTCTTGCCTGAGCAACAGTTCGAGTGTTTTGTTCCTTGTCATCAATACTCATTTGCTCCTAAAGTTCCCATCACGGTTCTGTCTCTCTCCCTCACTAACCTGGAAGCTTCACGAGGGTGGGAGTAGGTATCACTTGCTAGTGTGCCGTCCCTGCTCTGATGACTGTACAGCATGCACCAAGCATTCGGTACCTATTTGTCAAGGGAATTCACCACTAGCTAGTGAGTATCAGCTGGCACTGCCTCCCAAGTAACTGCTTCCTTTGACTAAATTTCTCCGCCTTCTGTAGGTGAGTTGGTGAGGGAAGGGGAGCACAGTGGTTTTGCTGTGGTTGAGACCACAGCAAATGTCCCCAGAGCTGACGTCTTCCGCCTTGGCCAGCCAGTACCAGCGTTCCCCGACAGCTTCTGTCTGACCAGGAGGAGTAGCTGTCACGTGCTTGTCAATTCTGTCTCTCTCTCATCCCAATTGGGTGCTGCCACACGTCCACCGTCAGGGCTAAAGACCTCTGATGTACCTACATCTTCTCCTTGGAGAGCACTGGGCACCGCCTCCTTGATCTTTCACTGGAATTAGATACTCAGTTTCTCTGCAACTTAGGAATCCTATTCCGGTAAGTCCAGTTCCAGGGCATATTTGACTCCTTATGCTACAATTTGGCGGCCATCACCTACTCTTACACGCTAGGCCGAACTGATATCATTTGGGGCTTCTGTTCTATGAAACATATTTGCGACACTGACAGCCATGTACATAGGATTCGAGCGATGTGGCCGAAGGATGGCTTTTCTGGGGAGCCACTTATCTAGCTGTGGTGTGCTATATAAACCCTAAGAATGAGGAACATCACATCTCCTATTGGCACTTCATCATGGGATTCTTACGGCAGCCCTTTGATCGGAAATGACTATTATTCATCCTCATGTTCTTTTCTGATGGACAAACAAGCTCTCGGAGGCCCTGTGAGTCCAACCCACACCGCCAACGGTGGTCAGGAGGCAGAAACTGACCTTATCTCCTCTTCTGTCCCTTTATACCTAGCTCACCTGGCCTTTCTCGCTGAACTGGTCTTGCTAAGGTATACAAGGGTGCATTTTAACTGATTCTAAAAGCAAATGTTCTCTGGGCCTCAGGCTAGGAATAGTAAGCTTCATGTTGACTACTCAGTCTACCCTCTAAAGGGGGCCAGATGTCTTTGGGGTGGTGAGAAAGGAGGTTGTTGAAGCTTCGAGGGCTCTAAGTCAGAATAGGAAAGGCCCAGAAAGCCAGGTCTGGGATGGGAATGGGCAGAGGAAGACCCCTGAGGATCCCCAGAGCCGACTGGAGATGTCATGGAAGCCAACGACCCAGAATGTTCTAAGGCACATCAGCCATGCACCCGACAGGGCGTCAGGACCCAGGGAGGAGCTTCAGAGCCCAAGGCCCCTGGTTGGCCCCTGGTTGGCCTCTGCAGGCCTTCATTTGCCCAGGACGAAGTCCATCAGTGCATCACGCACAGCAGAAGATGCGGAGCCTTTGGTTAAGTGGGGCGGCCACTGCAAGCAAAGCTTTTCCCTTGGAAGAGGCAGAGTGGGGCCACAGCTGGCTTCCAAGTCCCAACTCTGTGGCTGGCCAGCTCCCCCACACCATTTCCCCTTCCTGCGCCTCCGAGGACTCACCCCTAACACTGGACGATGATGCCCACCTTGCCTGTCTCACAGGGTCCCTGAGGCATCGAATGAGATCATCCACATGGACACATAAAACATGGGCAAGGGGCTTCAAATGCATGGGTTGGGCCCAGTCATATCATCAGTAAACATTCATCTTAAGGTTCCTTTCAGTTCCACTATTCTAAGACAGGGGGTGGGTTCTAGATTCTTCTCTCCCCATGTTTGCGTGTCTTCCAGTTCCTCGTTTTTACATTTAACCCAAATGGGGGCTTGCGACATCTTTCAGAATTGCCTCTGATTGGATGGGTCCACCGGCAGGTCATGTATGACGACAATGAACCTGCTTCTCACTTTGCATGGCTGAGTCCTAGGTGCTGTCCAGTCATAGTCAGTGGCTAGAGCTGGATGCATTGGCTTAATGTTTCTCTACTTGACCTCTTTATTCCTACTATTTCTCTGCCTTTTTAGGAGTCACTTCTTCCACTTGTGACCTCTCCAAAGTGTGGAAGCATCAGTCTTCACAGGTGTATTCTAGTGTTCAAGAAAGAGCTCCCAGCTGGGCACGGTGGCACGTGTGTAATCCCAGCACTCTGGGAGATGGAGGTGAGAGGATTGCCTGAGCCCAGGGATTTGAGACCAGCCTGGGCAACTTGGCGAGACCTTGTATCTACAGTAAATCAAAAAATTAGCCGGGTGTGGTGGTGCATGCCTGTGATTCCAGTTACCTGGAAGACTGAGGTGGAAGGATTGCCTGAGCCCAGCAGGTTGAGGCTGCGGTGGCCATGAGCGTGCCCCTGCACTCCAGCCTGGGTGACAGAGTGAGACTCCAACTCAATGAAAGGAAGGAAGGAAGGAAGGAAGGAAGGAAGGAAGGAAGGAAGGAAGGAAGGGCTCCTCTCCACCATTCCAAAAAAGAAAATTCCATGAACATTTTAGGGTTGCCCAAAGCAAACATGAGCAAAAACATCAGGTACAAAGGGGACATGAGAGAGAGAGAAGGCAAAGAGAGAAGGCAAAGAGGGACACCAAAGAGGAAGCAGAAGAGTGGAAGAAATGAGAAAAGTAGTGAGAAAAAATCAGAAAAGCAGTGGAAGGAAACTCAATAAATAAACAAGAAAAACACAGACTAAGCAGAGGGGGATGAAGGGGAGAATCAAAGTAAAGACCAGAATGAAGGACTGAGGAGACCAGAGCCTTCTCGCTTTTGGCTGTCATGAAGTCACCATCTCCGTGGTCACAGAGGCAGGAGACCTGGGCGCGAAATTCCTGCCACAGCAGCATGGTAGCCACTACATGTCTCTCGGTACAATATGGGACGAAGTGGACCAGGAGACCCAGCATCTTAGCATTTGTTTCCGAAGAGCGGCATTTACCTGTAGACGATGCCTTTGGAATGCAGGAACTGCAGACCAAGAATGATTTCAGCAGCATAAAACCTGAGGGAGAGAGAACCAAGTTCAATGTGAATGCTGTCACGGAACACAACACAATCCCAAACCCGGGCTGGTCTTCTGCATATGTGCAACGCTTGGCTAAGTGACGTACAGACTTAAGTTGGTTTAATCCTAGCAAGGGAGATGTCATCCATTCATTCTACACAGAAGAAAGGAGAGGCTCAGAGCCCTCCAGCCTCAACCTTGAGAGGATGAAGCAGAACTGGCCTGGATCTAGTGCTTTTTTCCTGTATTCTTCTTATTTTTGAGTTGGGAGCCTCACTCTGTTGCCCAGGCTGGAGTGCAGTAGCACGATCACAGCTTACCACAGCCTCTACCTCCTGGGCTCCGGTGATCCTTCCGCCTCAGCCTCTGGAGTAGCTGGGACTACAGGCATGTGCCACCACACCTGGCTAATTAAAAAAAATTTTTCTTATAGAGACAAGGTCTCGCAATTTTGCCCAAGCTGGTCTCGAACTCCTGGGCTCAAGTCATCCTCCACCTTGGCCTCCCAATTACAGGAGTAAGCGACCACGCCAGGACCTTATTCTTGTATTTTAAACTACAATGCTCACACAGTCATTTTTTGCTAATAAAATATGCACAAACATTAAATCTAACAGTATGGTATACTAGGCCAATAATAATTTCCTCCTTTATTTTAAACTCAGCTTGGAGCCCATATTGCTGTATGCTCCAAACAAAGCTGTCTGGGTTATTTTCATACTGATGACCTCTAGCCTGGGCAAGATATATAGTCTGAGAGGTAGATAAAAGGATATCAGAAGATGCAAGACAATACGTTACTCTTTATTGTCAATGGTGACAAGCTTAAAGGAAATAAGTTTACATGATCATTAGTGGGATTAAGGTCAGATAAAAGGGAGAACTTCCTGGAAATGAAGTTTGCCAGCTCTCATGGAAGGATGCAAAATTCTCCTTCCTGGAAGGTTTCTGGGACACAGTAGACAGCATGTGTCTGAGCTGATTGGAGAGGACAGTGGACCGAAGGAATTCCTTCCAGCACAAAGGATACCTGATGGTTTCCCTGCTGCAGAAACTCAATAAAAGTATCTCTGGGCACTTTGTCAAGGGTTTCTGGAGGCAGGTAGATTTGACAAAACAGCTTTGGAGGAGCTGGTGAACTAAGTCCACTTTCAACCCACTTCAACCTTACCCACTTGTGTGTCCACGTGGAAGTAAGAGAGAGATGATTGTGTATCAAGCTAAGGGCGCGAGTCTCTCTACCCATTTTAAAATGAGCCCAGTGGCACATTTTTCTTTTGCTTGAATGCCACAGAAAGCGGGCAGTCGGATACACAGGGGGACAGTGGGTGGGAGAAGTAGGGGACTGTGGACGCCGCTGCAGCCCTGCCAGGTACACTCAGCCTGCTCCATCCTGCCGGCATCTCAGGCCACTGGATGCCAACGAAGGTGAAGACTTATTCTCAAACAAAACAGGTGCCTCTCTCAGTCTCCTCTTTCTCATGGCCCAGGAGCCCTGCACCGAGGGCTTCCCTTGAAAGCCTTGGCTGAAAGATTTACCTGGGGGCCACCCAAAGATCTGCGTTCAGGTCCCCGCTTTCCTGGCGTCTGTGTTTAGCTCACTTAGAAGCCTGATGAACTGGCTGGTTCCTTAAGAAACCAAGTAGCTGGTTTCACAGAGCAGAGAAATGGAACAAAACTGGCATGAATTTCAGTTTCACCCAGGGAGAACTGGGGCCCCATGGATTATAGCCCCAAGGGTCGACTTTGCCTTGGGATGGGGGCAACCCGCATGAGGAAACAGAAAATGCCACGGGGAACAGCACCCTGTGGGCTCAGGGTGCGCATCCTGACAAGAACAGCAGGGGAGCCCAGACCCCCGAGAGGCCCTTACGTCGCTCTGGAGAGATCGAACTTGTGGCAACTCTGGATGTGGTACATCAGGTCTCCCCCGTTGAGGTACTCCATCACGAAAAAGAGGTTTTCCTGGGGGGCAATCAAAGTAATCCCAATGTTTAGCTTCTCAGGAAGAAAGGAAACAAAGACCACTATTTACATGGGTTAGATAATTTCAGAGGAACCAATCTTATCTTGAAATCACTCACAAAAAGACTGGCGACGTAATTTAGCTTATCTATAAATATATATAACTTTGGAGTCAGGGTCTCACTCTATTGCCCAAGCTGGAGTGATGGCGTGATCACAGCGCACCACAGCCTCTACCTCCTGGGCTCAGGTAATCCTCCTTGTCTTAGCCTCCTGGGTAGCTGGGACGACAGGCACATACCACCATGCCTGGCTAATTTTATTGAGACACATATATCTATATATATGTGATATATATATAGAGAGAGGTAGAGATGCGGTCTTGCTGTGTTGCCTAGGCTGGTCTCAAACTCCTGGACTCCAGTAATCCTTCTACCTCTGGCCTCCCAAAGTGCTGGAATTACAGGCATGGGCCACCGCACCAGGCCTCGATCTATGTTTTTGGACCCCGGGAAGCCTGGGGCATCTAAGTGGGCTGTCATGGGGCATCTACTAGATACTAGGGGGCTACAACCCAGATAGTAGAGCGTGGCACAGGGAGAGTCCAACTGGACTTGCCCACCAGATGATGAGACGCTGCTGGGCGCTTATTGGGTGCTGACTGTATACTTATTGAAACTGACGATGTGTAAGATGAAAGAGAATCTGTTTTGGTCTCTGACCCTGGCGAGCAGTGTTTGAAAATACTCAACCACTCAACACTCTGTGCCTATTCTATGGTCAGAGCTTGGTGGGCGAGTGAGTCTGGGATGCTCACGCCTGCCTGGAGCCTGCGGTCAAGTTTAACCTTCTTTCTCTCCAGTCCAGCTTCCACTTGCCGCAGTGGCAAGCCACCACGGAGGAGGACATTGCTCCTAGCTGAGGACACCACGCGTGTCAGGAGGGCTGGAGCCATCCGTGGACAAAAGCGAGGCTGGGTGGCCCTCGGGCTGCAGTCAGAGTGTCAGCGGTCGCCAGGTTCCTGCCAGCCTCCGTACCTCTGACTATGTGAGACAGTACATAAGTCACATAAGTCTATTCGCAACACTCTGAGCAGCCTGATTTTAACAGGGTACTTAGGAGTCACAGAATGAGTAGCCCAAAAAGCGTGGAGACATTCGGCATGTCTGTGCATGCATGTGCACCTGGAAACCACACCTGGCTGACTTTTTAACAGAATTAACCTTCCAATTTCGATGTCCGCCTAACCAAGGTCGTGGGGGTGAGGGAGTCATAGAAGAAACACCGTTTTCTCCCTCAGGGCGATGTTCATTGCCACATTTCCACCCAACAGGGAAAGCCAAGGATTGTGGCAGTTGCCAAAATAACTCATGTAAGTGTCCACCCACTTTCTCCAAGGTGAATCTCAGATTTAACTTATTGGTTCTATGTGTATATGTATATATATATATTTTTTGCGTTTGGGTCTCTCTGCTGCCCAGGCTGGAATACAGTGTTGCCATCATGGTTCACTGCAGTCTCAAACTCCTGGGCTCAAAAGATCTTCCTGCCTCAGCCTCTGAAAGCACTTGGGACCAGGCAAGCCACCACGCCCGACTATGGTTCCAAATGTCTTTAGCTGATGCTCACCCCTTTCTCTTTCAGATAGGCCAAAACCCTCGGCTGACATCAGTCACAACTTAACATTACTATTTCAAACCTCGTTTTCTTTTTTGTCCTTCAGAATTAGCACATTTATTTGTTTGTTTGTTTTGAGTTGGGGTCTCACTCTGTCGCCCAGGCTGTAGTGCAGTGGCATGATCACAGCTCACCTCAGCCTCCACCTCCTGGGCTTAGGCCATCCTCCCGCCTCAGCCTCCTGAGTAGCTGGGCACTACCACATCTGGATAATCATTTTGATTTTTTTTTTGTAGAGACGGGGTCTCGCTATGTTGCCCAGGCTGGTCTTGAACTCCTGGCCTTGAGCCATCGAGCCACTCCGCTCGGCCGGCCAAACCTGATCTCCCAGTAATCATGTGCCCCTCTGCACACAGCCTGCCCTCTCCTGGGCACGTCTCTCTAGCCCTAACTCTTGTAAGCACCGTCTGAAGAGCTTCAACTTCCACCTTCACCTTCTTACTCGAAACGATGACGACCTCATACCAGCCACAATGGCGGGGTCTCCTTTTGAATACTCAGGAGAAGGCAGGCATAGACATGTAGAGCGAGACCATCTGCTCACACGCCCGAGGGATGGCTTCTTTCAAGTGCTAGGATGCCTACGCCATTCTAGAAAGGCTGACATTTCAGGATTTACACCCTGTCAATCTGGACTTGGAGAAAGTAGGGGGAGGGGACTGGAGGTGGAAGTTTAGCCCTGTTCCCCAATCCCCCCCACCCCACGGGCCCATCTGCTCCCGGTCTACACAGTCTGTGCAGCACTACGTCCTCGTGACAGAACAGGGGAGGGGGTGTTGAATCTGCACCACTTAAAAGTCTAAGAAATCCCAGGGCCCGGTCAGTGCATACCGCCATGCAAGGACCGAGAGCATGACACTGCTTGTGATTGTCAGTTAAACTGTTTTGGGGGTTCACAGTGTGTGGGATGCCACACTGACTCCTGCTAAGAGCTGAGGGTGCCACCATGGATCTTTCAAAAATCCCTGAGCCTGCGGGTTTGAGACCCGCCTGGGCAACTTGGAGAGACCTCATCTCTACAATAAATCAAAAAATTAGCCGGGCGTGGTAGCGCGCGCCTGTAGTTCCAGCTACTTGGAAGGCTGAGGTGGAAGGATCACTGGAGCCCAGCAGGTTGAGGCTGCGGTGGCTGGGAGCAGCCACAGTACTCCAAGTCTGGGTGACAGAGTGAAACTCCAACTCAAAAAAAAATGCCGGGGACCAGCTCCAGCTGGGTTCAGGGTACCCCAAAGGTGGAGACGGCGTCAGTGATTGGGGGGAAGAAGAGAGAAAGAGAGAGAGAGAAAGAGAGACAGAGAAAGAAAGAGACTGGATTCCAGTCTAGTGCAGAAGCGAATTAGTCTTATTGGGAATTACAACGGGTCTTTTATACACAAAGTCAGATGTGGGAGGGGCGTTCCCCCACCCACCAGAAACCTTAATCCATGAAAAC